TTTTCTATAGTCGTAATCTCTTAAGATAACTTATAAAACTTATAATGATATAATTTATAAAGATTTAAACTCCATTTTACAAAAATATCAATTTAAAAAAGTTAGCTTATACTTATATAAAGATATATTCTTTTATCAGGAATATGCTAGACTGCTCTTAAGTATATCTTAGAAAGATCGTACTTAGAAAAAGGTCTTATTTATATTTTAATAAGGTGAATATCTTAAACTACGGTTGATATATTTTATGATACATCTTAAAAAATTCTAGTTTATAGAATACCTTTAAAAGTATAACTCAGATCTAATTTATACCTTATATCAGAATGATACTCTTTAGAAAGATAGAATATCTTGATAAAGATACTCGAAGAGATACTTTTATCAAGATTTAAAGCATATATCTACAATATAAGCTAGGTAAATATATCTTTTTAGATATCTTTGTTAAGATATAAGCTAAATTCTTACAAGTTATGCGGTAGATAAAGATGTCTTTATCGAGCTTATACTTAGAAAGACAGCTTGATAAAGATACCTAAAACGACATATTTATCGAAAATTTCAAATATTTTTAGCTAACTTAAACCGTAGAAAATTCTAATTTATCCCTTATAACGAATGATATATCATAGAAAGATCTAGCTTACGTGATCGAGAGTTGGAGAAATCTTGTTTATATCTTTATGCTGTTTTTACTTTAATTTAAATCGATAAAAGATTTTTTAAAATCCCATACTTAAGCTACTTTAAAGATAAAAAACTCATTTTTTGATTAATAAAATCGGATTTAAAGTGGAAAGAATCTGTAAAGAGTAAACTGATGAAACGGGATTTTGCACGCAACCGAGTAAAAAAAGAAATAAAAATAATCAAGTAATCATCGATTAAAGTATAATTTAACATTACAGCATCTCATTTACGTTTTGATTATTGATAATTAACTCATTACTGGCGATTGTTTGCCACTAATTACCTACACTAATAACCAATAATTGTTTGTTCTCACGAAAGAATCACGCTCTCCAGCAATATGACAGACATTCATCAACACCATTAGATGCGTCAGCTGTAACTATGATTTCCACTAATCACATAACAGTTATTTACTCTTAAATTTAATTTTTATCAACTTTATAAAATACGTTTTGTTAAAAATTAGCTCACGAAGGTATATTTATATTAATTTTTTTTTGTTTAATAATTAAGAACAAACGTCATTTTTCTAGGAGTTCTCCTAGAGAAAAGGTGATCTTAATTGGTTTTCTCTTTCTTTACTGAACTAGAATTAGTGTATCCATTAATACTGTAAAGACAGGTGTAAATCAGTAGAGGAATTTAATAGTTGGTTGGAGTTGAAAGCTGAATACTTTCAGCTAAAGGTCGTTAGCAACTTGAAATTTCCTCTTTACCAAGATAGAAAGGACGTGATTACTAGAAGGTCATAAAAAATTATTTTTTCTTTTATATAAAAATACACATTTAACTTCAAAAAAATTTTAATTGTATCCACTAGGCGAGTTATGCAAACTTTAAGTTTAGCATAAACTTACAAACGATTCTTTCATGTAAATTCTTTATTTTCTCTCTTCTATAATCATGTGTAAACTTTAAATTATATTTATATATATTATCTTTTAAAAATTATTTATATCAAAAGTGTAATTACCAAAAAATCGAGGCTTTTTTTTTCAATCGGTTTTCTTAGAATCCCGGAAGATGAAAGGATCCTTGACATTGATTTCAGATTATATACAACGTCAGGAAAGATTTTTTTTTAAAGAGGAAAAATAAAAAAAGTAAATTTTATAGAAAGATTTAGAATCAATGAATGACTTGAGACCGAAGTTTGTAAACAATTTCTGTAATTATCCGAGTCACGAGGGTAGAAAATTATTGGAAGGTTAGGATAATGAATTATGCTATCATGTCGCACGGACGAAGTGCTTTTCCATTATTGGTGTGATGTCTTATCCATCTATCTATCATTGCACGCTTCTCTAATCGAATTTTACTCAGTTACAAGATTTTTTTAAAAAATTTATTCTAATTTTTATCAAATAAAATCAACGACATATTAATTAAAAGTTTTAAAAATATGATTTTTCTAAGTTTAAGATTATTTACAGATGATGCTTTCTGAACATTTTCTTACGCTCATTAAACAAAATCTATCTTAAATATATGCAAAAAATATATATTTTTATATTGTAAAAATTTTATTTTAAGGATTTAAAGATAATCTTTTATTAAATTGCTTTGATAAAAGCGCGTATAAACGTTTTCTCTTGGTTGTATATTCATACTGCTCTTGCGCTTCACACTCGGATCGGTATCCATGGAGACAGATGAAAGTATAATTATTGTCTGTGGGAAAAGAGAGGCAGTTTGCGATGCTTCTTGTACGCTATTACACAGAATAACATGCTACAAATGGATCTATCTGTTAGCATTTGAATTTAATTAACATCTTTAACGTTCGTAACTCCCGAAAGTGGTTGCTAGTTAGATGGAAATGTACTACGAAAATTAATAATCTTTAAGCACAGTTATTAAAATATTTAATTAATTTCTTAAAACCTTTAAAATTTAAGTAAAAATGTTAAAGTTAAAACAGTTTTTAGTTAAATAATCAATGAAATTTTTTAGAGTAAAAACTATTCGAATTTTATCATGTAGAGCCGTGTGAAAAGATGTATTGCGCCTACGGAGCGTTATGTTTAGTGGATGAGAAAAGTCAGCAGGCATACTGCAGGTGCCAAGAAGTATGCACAGACATCTTCGCACCCGTCTGTGGAAGCGACAAAGTGACATACTCCAGTGAATGTCAACTCAGAATGGCTTCCTGCACTCAGCAAAGGAGGATATTCATTCAGCATTCAGGACCTTGTGGTAAGATTTGAGCATGACTTTACTTCAAAAAAATCACTTTTTTACTACACTTTTTGGAATGAATTGATATAAAATAACTTCTATGGATTTTAAATGAGAGGAAAATATTTTTATATACATCAATATATGATAAGATGCTGAATATATCCAAGATGCTGCGATGATTTTTTTTTCTTAAGAGGATTTCTAAAGCATATATTTTAGTATTTATTTTACAATTTTAAATTATTAACTAGTCGAATTATTAATTAAAAAATTCAACAAAAGTTTTAATAAAATTTAAATTTAAAAATTACGAAGAGAAGGACCTTAAATTAAAAATGTATTTTTAGACTTAAATTAATTCTTTTTAGAAAATAATAAAAATTTCTAAAGCAATATCCATGTATTGAAGAAGAATCTGTCATAGCATCTATGGAATTTATAATATAGTTTTTAAAATAATCCAGGATGGAGTTAAGTGATTAACATATTGAGCTAAGATTGTTATGTATAATTTATAATTTTGCTAATATATCANAAAAAACATCTCGATATTATCAATCAAAATGTTTTGTTTAAGAATAACATTTTTTCTTTAAAAAATAAATAAAAATTTATAGAAAAAATCGAAAAAAACACATTCTAGAATTCGATCAATCTTTCAATACGTAGCTTCATATTGAAGTTCAAAATATTCTAATTAATATAACATCGCAGCTGTCGCGCTGTCACCATCTTCCATTAATAACTTAAAGATGTAAATTATAAATTTTCAAAGTTATGCAACAGAATTCCACATATACATATGTATACAATACATCCAATTTAATTTATTATCACGAGAGTCAGTTGTCCTGTTACAGGAATTGTCTACAGTAAAATCAAAGTAAAAATAAAAAGGAAATTTTTTCTGATTTTTTTAAGCGAAAGAGTTTCAAAGAAATGAGTTTTTATCAACTTTTTCCAATGATTTTTTCTTTATTTATATATTATGCACAAAACAGAGTTACCACTTGACTGCATTCAATTTCTACGATGCCATGAACTGTTGAAATATTTATGTTCTATTGATTTTAACCTCTCGAATTGTTATTTGAGTTATTTATTGCCTGTCCTTGAATGTGATCAACGTTTTCAGGTAGATTGATGCAAGCCATACGAATTTTCTCATTGTATCGATTTGCAATAAACGACAGACACACACACGTACACCAAAGTCATTTTATATTAAAATATAACTAATTAACTTTTTTAAATGCTTCTGTATTATGTTTTCTTCTATTTTTACAACCAAATTTCGTTTAAGCTTTTTATAAATCTACTTTTGAAGTGTAGAGTATCGATAGGGATTCATCATTTATAATTTTTTAAAACAATTTGTTTTCGTTGATCTTTCGTAAGGGGTGTTTTGAATTTAAGATAAATCGTAAATCAATTAATTCCTCTTTTGCATAATTGAAATTCTGTCACTGGAGAACGGAAACTGTGTTTACCGTTACCGTAGTAACCGGATACAATAGGAGGATGAGGAGCATCATCCCGATTTATCTCTTTATCATTTATCAGAGAAACAATAAAAAAAAATTATCAATCGAAAGCTTAATTTTACTTATTACTCGACCGAAAACAAAATATACACCTTCTAACAATCGTAATTAGCAATTTAGAAAGTGAGAGAAGCGAGTGAAGTGCTGGATAAAATTAATCATTTTTAGAAAAAGATAATTTTCCTCAAGTTGGAAAATGTTAAATCCGAATTACTTCCACATCAGAATATCGTGTGTGTGAGAGATTTTATACACTGGCACGCCATCTAAAGCTGTTCTTATAGGCGCAGGCGCTGTTTGTAGAAAGCGATCGTTCAAGGCAGCATGCATTCACAATCCACCATCTTGTCATCCTTAGAGTCATGTTCGAGTTATAAGATGAATAATTGAATAGGAATTTGTTAATATGTCATTGTATACGTTTTATAATCATTCTAGAAATGTGTTGAATTTAGTATAATCATGTTTGAGATGCATTGTGTGTATCTAGTATGGGTATTGCCATTATTGACAACTGCCACACTTGCTTGTTACAAATATCCCTCAGATATGAAAGACCCGTGCCAGGAGAAGGAGTGCAACTATGGAGCCCAGTGTAGACCATCTCTAGATGGTAGGACTGCAGAGTGCGTGTGTCCTGCCAAATGTGCCACTTATGGTGACAGTCGTGGTTCTAGACCGGTTTGTGGTACCGATGGTAAAGATTATCCAAATGTCTGCGAATTGAGAAGAACTGCTTGCAGAGAAATGCGAAATGTTCAAGTGAAATTTCAAGGAAGATGTGGTGAGTTAAGTTTTTCTTATATTTCTAGTTTTTTTTTAGACTTTAAATATAAGGTTAAAGCACAGAGGAGTGAATGAGTTAACACCATCTGGGTCGATTCGCATATCTAAGAAAAAAAAATCGAATAGTTTTATTACATTTATATACAAAAAAAACTATAAAATTTTATTGTAATTTTAATAAAAAAAATTGAATTTTTAAATCAAATTATCGATATAACAACTTAACAATCTCATCACTTTTCTTAATTATTCTCTTAATAACTTATTTTACAATGATTTAAATAGTGTGATGCCGTTAATCTAACAGAATTTAACGTTGTAGAATACGTAACTTTTAATGCTGAATGAATAAATTTTAAGAATTAACATTTAAATTAAAACAGTATTCGCCATACTATTTGCATTACAGGGAAAAAAATAAAGTTGTTTCTTTCCTGTTAGCAGAGAGGCAATTTTAATAGCACACTCTTTAGCAAATCAAGAAATGTTTGTCAAAGTTGGTTTTGTTTGCTCATCTCTGCACAGTATTAGAATTTCTCTTCTCTTTAAATTACTGCATACACAAATTTGTTGATGGAAAGTCTGTTTAATGGTTTATTATCAAATAATTCAACAGTTTAAATTGATGAAGAATCGTTAATTTGGAGAGAATTCTATTGTTTTTTGATGCGGAAATTTTCAGTTTTCTGTACAGTAATTGATTCTATAGCTAATAGTAAACAACAGGGCATCGGTTCTAGAAAGTATTATAGAAATTATCTGGAAACAAAACAAAAACAAAAATGTCAATTAATAGGATCCGTTAGATCCTCTTACCGATGTTATCATCAAAATAAACGCGCCTGGATCGCAATGTTATATCTCAGATGAAATCCCAAAAGACATTAACTGTAGGAGAGTGGATTAGGAGTGACCAAAAGTCATCATCTAGTGCCACAGACGACAGAGTCAGAAATAAAGGATGGAACTCTGTGAGGTAGAAGACAAGTGGGGTAAGAACCAACCAATCAATAAAACTTTCACCACAACCAACTACTTTCATTTATTCGGTCCCGAGACATTTTTCGACACAAAAAGCTTTCTATACAATTAAATAAAACTAGTTTTCTTCTTTTTTCCCCCTTCTTAGTTTTAGTTCGGAACAAACTTGTCTCTTATAATTTAAATAAAAATCGAGAATAAATTACTATATGGACAAAGGCATTTTTCTTACATCCTAAAGAAGATATCTCATTAAGAATCCTACCAAAACTGACGTTTAATATAAGGTCCTAGTTGGAAAAATCTGGATTTTCCTACTTAATATTCATTTGATCTTACAAGCTCTTTCGTCTCATAACTAGACAATACGTGATAAGATCTGCAAAGGGTAAATTAGGGTGGATTGCTAAAGATGTTTCAGTTATGCATCTAACATGGAAAGGAATGAATTGGATGGAATTCATGAATTATTAATAGTTTCTTTTGCTTTCTTCTAAAATGATTTTTTTTTTCGTTTCGTGTCGGTGATAAGGCAGATTAGCCGTAGGAAAGGAGGAATTATTTTAAAGTTTATCAAAAATAAAAGAAAAAAAAATGTATTGATGAAAATATATTTTGTAGCAATTTCTCTTAAGATTTTATAAAATTCAATTTATTGTACAAGAAAAATCCTGAAAATCTTCTAATTTTTAACCGTTTGGAATTATTAAAACAAATAAAATTTTTAATAAAAAAATTACTAATATAATTTCGTTTGGTTGCAAGATTTTTGTATTGAGTCATCGTATCTTGTTTAACGCTTGGATTAAGTTTAAAATGAGTTTAACGAACCGAAACTAATCAAATTGAAACTTCATAATATGTTAGATTTAAATCTTCAGCTACCTGTTCATGTATTTTTTTAGAGAAAAGATTATATTTGATTTTTTTGACAAGTTTTCAGAAGTGTTGTTGAATATGCCATTTATTTTCTTAGAAAATCTCCCTCAGTGTTAACGCATTCTGGTTCCAAAGAAATAAAAATATATATTTTTTTAATTTTTAAATGATTTTTCTGGCATTTTTCGACGTATTATCTGCTGTTAATATCACTTCTTATGATATTTATATAGAACAATTTAGGATTTTTATTGATCATTAAATGCAGATGCTCTATAGGGTTTATCATCTGTCATTGTCAAAGGTGAGATTATGAGCCATATCAAGAAGCGTGTACAACACAAAATACCTGATTGGGATTTAGTTCTACTTAATCTTTTTTTCTGATATTTTTATTGATAAACAATAAGACAGAAGAACATTATTATGATCATAATATTTTATCCTGACGAAACTTTGTTATCCTGAAAGAAATATGAAGATAACAAAGTTTTTTTTCTTTATCAAAGGCTTACAAAGAATACTTCTTTATGAAATGATACAAAAATAGAATTAATTTCCTCTCTCGCTCGTCATCAAAACTTGGTATTTAGTTTTATAATCTCTACTTTAAAAAATAATAATCATTGCAACTTAATTGCACGACAAATTTCTTCGAAGAGGAGCGAAGTTCAGAATATTCTTTCTTAAGATAATTTACAATTTTAACGTGGAAATATTTTAATTTTTTTT